AGTAGCAACAGTAAATTAGTTGTAGAAATTACGTACAAGAATAGAGGTCTCCTGACCACTAAAAATTTAATTAGTGTTCAAGTCGTTAAGGACTTGAGGGAAAGTAAGGGGAGGCCGGCTGTAGAGCGAGCCCACAGTTTAAATAAAAAGCACTTTATTTGATTTAAAATTGTTCACAAATTATTTTAATGAAAAATTCACTTATTATTATTTCACAAGATATTTTAACTAAACTATTTGTGGCAAATTATTGAATGTATAAAATATAATGAGGCCGCGGTTTAGAGCTGCCGTGCGCGAGCGAGGACTGTTGGTTTTAGAGTGGTTTTTCGTTAGCTCGAACGGCCGCCGCTAAGCGGTCGATCGGCTAACGAAATTTGGCCAAAAAGGATAGAGGAATTGGCGCGTGATGGGGCACACGGAATTAGTGGGAAAAGACGGGTAATTCCACGCGCACGGCAGTTACATTTTTTTATATATGATGGTTTAATCATTTAAGCAGGCGCTTGAACATACTCCCCGCCCTGCAGGGATGCGTTGCCCAACGCATTCTGGAGCGTTTGTAGGGCCCGGATCGCGTCTCCTATTGCGTCTCTGGCAGCGCGTTTGCGGAAGGCGGGCGTTTGTAAGCCCGTAGCACTGCGTGCGATGGTTGGTGTCTTCTTTTCTCGCGGTCGCTCCGCTGGTGTCGGAACTGGAGTAGCGGCTGCTTTACGCTGTCTGGCTTAACTGCGCCTTTTTCTTGATGGAAGGCGCACGTTGTTGTTTCGCGCGTTTAATGGCCGGCGGTGACACTGCTTGTTGCTGCTGACCTTTTACTCGCCGCTACCTGGTGAGTTGCGTTTGTGGCTGGCTTGCGCCTTACGGCTGCATCTTGGTGCATCAATGTGTGATGCGCTTTATGGCAGCGCTTGCAGCTGCTCGACGAATCACATTCGCCCGTCGTATGCGTCAACGCCAGACAATTAATGCAGTAGCCTTGTGCCCTGGCTACTACAAGTCGTTGTGGCGGCTTCATCACCCCCCCCATGCGCCACACATGCGTAGAGGGTGGTATTTGTGGCAGAGTCTTCATTGCAGGCAATTCTCTGTTTCTACCGTAGGGGCTAAGGGTACGGCCATTTATGTTTTTCCCTGAAACAAATGGAGGTTTTGTTTTATTTTTGTTATGCTATCCTGTGAGTTAAGGGTGCTCATTAGGAAAAAATCAACACTTGACAAGTGGGCGCGTGATAACCCCGTTTTGGGTACGTACATCCAATACTCGAATGTAATTATCAGGTCCATGGCGACCGAGTCGCCACTCGGTGGGTGGTAGTGGGTCTTCTTTGACTACTACCAAGTCGCCTGGCTGAGGATCTCGCTGTGGATTCTTCCACTTGTATCTCTTCTGAAGATCTTTGAGATATTCCTCCTTCCAGCGTCGACTGAATTCGTGGTGAAGGACTTTTAATCTCCTCCCATCGATTGGTCAATGAAAGGTCTATTGCGTTTGGCTCGGAGATGGCCATAAGCGGTGCACCTCGGATAAAATGACCAGGAGTAAGTGCAGTGAGGTCAGCGGTGTCTTGCGAGATAGCTGATAGAGGTCTCGAGTTGAGAACTGCCTCAATTCGCACTAATAGTGTTGTAAATTCCTCAAACGTAAACTTATGGGATGCAGCGGTTTTTTTGAGATGAATTTTAAAGCTTTTAACTGCTGATTCCCATAAGCCACCCTAATGGGGTGCGCTGGGAGGAATGTGCCAATTTATGCCTTGAGGAGCATATTTTTGGACTATGTCGGCGGAACATTCGTTAAGGAATTTAACGAAGTTTTGATGTTGTCGCTCATAATTTTGGATGGAAATCCTCGTCGAACGACGAAACGTGCAAACGTTGCTGGAAATGCTTCAGTTGTCAAATCTGAACATAGCTCAAGACGAACGTCCTTCGTTGCAAAGCAGATGAAGACTGCAATATAGCCTTTGAAATAGGTGTTCGACCTCAAGACTTTTATCTGAAATGGCCCTGCAAAGTCTAGATCTAGAAAATGGGAGTGTGAATGTACAACGCTCAGAGGGTAGAACGGCCATTATTTGCGTGCGTGTCTTTTCCTTGTAAAGCGTACATGCCTTACATTGAAAAATGCACTTTTTATTCAGAGGCTTGAGCTTCGGAATGAAGAACTCTTGCCTGACCATTTGAAGCATCAAACGTGTCTCTGCGTGAAGAAGGAGCTCGTGCATAAACTTCAAATATACTTGGCAGAACCTCGATTTAGTGGGGATGATGATTGGGTGTCTTTCATTGTAGCTCAGCATGGAATGGGCGTATCTACCGTTCACACGCAGAAGTCCATCTTTATCCAAAAATGGATTCAGAACTAGTAGTGAACTCTTTTTGTTGATAGCTGTTTTAGCTCGCAAGGCATCTTTTTCGCTAGGGAAATAGCGCTTCTGAGAAATGTCGATGATGCGCTTCTTTGCGGCTTGTCATTCACTATGTGTCAGATGTGGCAAGGTGAGTAATGGTTTCCCCTTGGACTCATTTCGGACGTTGTCCAGGAAACGGAACATATATGAAGTCACGCGGATCGCTCCAGAGTATGAGGAGAACCGATCCAGATAGTCGGGCTCATCTTCAAGCGCGTGATATGCTTCTATCTTACGCCTTTCTGGCGGAGAAGCGCTGCAGCATGACGCCATGTGCCGCCTGGAACATATTTTCGGATTTGAGAGGTGCGGTCTTCCATGTGCATGGTGGCTTCTCGAGCCATGCCAACACGATCTCAGAATCTGACCATAGAAATATGTTGCTCGCTTGTAAACTGAGTTGTTTTTGAATGGTTGCAACCAGTTTTGCTAGAAGTAATGCGCCACACAGCTCTAAGCGTGGTAAGCTTACCGTTTTCAACGGTGCTACCTTTCCATTTGCAACCAGAAGAGTGAACGTTATTTCATTGTTATCATGTGTGCGTACATCCGCAATTGTTGCCCAATATGCTTTCTCCGAAGCATCGTAAAACCCGTGTATTTGGGTGTCTTGCCCTGGAGCGAAATTTTCCCAGCGTGGTATTTCGATTGCGCAAAAGGCTGGCAGAACTTTAGTGGTCACTTTTTCCGGTTTTACAACCTCATGATGTGGCAAGCAGAATGAGTGATAGTTACCACTGGAGATCATTTCACGCGGGTAGGTGAATTCCATGATGTCGGGGTCAAGATATTCTTGCAACACATTGTTGTGCATTATGTTTAACTCTTCTTTTTTCTTTAGCCTGCGCTCCATACTGAAAAATTGTTGAAACGCTGCAGACCAAGAGTGGCCTAAAGAGAGTTTTGCGGGAAAATCTTCCTTGAATAGAAGCCGCACAATATACCGACCGTTTGGGGCACGAATCGTGGTTTGCTTGTATATGTTTTCGCAAGCTTGATTTCCATTTGTAATTTGTGGAGTTGATGGAATTTCTTCCTCTTCCCAGAACTTTCTCAATTGATCACCAAGTGTATCAGTTGAGATTTCTTCTACTTGTGTCGAGAATGACACCACTTTTTCGGTTACTGGACCGCTAAGGATCCAGCCGAATATAGTGTTTTGCGCAAGAACTGTGTCGCAAATTGTTTGTACACCTTCCACGAGAATTTGTGGAAGTATTTCACTGCCTATTACCATGTCGGTTTGAGCTGGTATATGTCAATTCGGGTCAGCTAGCTCAAGGATTTTGAACTGTTGCCAGGTATTACGGCTTTAGGTAAAGGTTGGCAAATGCCTCGTTAGCTTTTGTAGCACGATGGCTTGGGCATTGATCCATTGCTTGAATGTGTGCTTGCTTAGAGCAGCACGGTTGCTCGCTTGGATTGAAGCATGTATGCGCTTGTCGAACTGGAGAAGTTGACTTGGCAGTTGGGTGTTGCACAGTAGAGTTATGAGAACTGCTGCTGGCGTTTTGAGCGTTTGGTTTTGCATTTAGGTACACCAAGGAGTAATGCCGTAACTGGCAATGTGCACATGCAAACCTGCTCGTACAATCATTACTGTGATGACTTCGTGATAAGCAGTTTTTGCAGAGTTTATTCTGCTTCGCAAAACGTATTCTGTTTGATGCCGACATTTTCTTGAAATTGTGGCATTGCGAAATCGCGTGTCTGGAATTGCAACGCGGACATGTGTTATCCCTGTTTTGTTCCGCCACAAATGATTGTATCCTGTTAAAGGATCTATTGTGGCGACGTTTTGAGTGGCGACTGGTTTCGGTTAGTTTTGGCTTGGATGAAGCCGATTAAGACGCTCCACCACTTCGTATCTAGAAGTGAGGAAGTCATTCATTTGCGACCATGCTGGCAAATCTTTTCGAAAAGCAATAGATTGCTTCTACAAGGATAATGTGGTTTCAGGTAGTTTCGAGGAGCATATATAGACCAACATTGGATCCCAACTCTCTGTCGATACGCCTTGCGAATGTAAGGCAGACAGACAGCCATTTATTGTTGTTTGCAGTCTTTGTATTTGCTCGCTATTTTCGGTTTGTACGTTGGGCAGCGAGAGTAGGACTTTTATTTGGTTGTCCACTAGAATACGTTTGTTTTCGTATTTTGCCCGTAATGCCTCCCATGCTAGCTCAAAATTATCATCGCTCAATGGGTATTGTTTGACGATTGAGCCAGCTTTGCCTTCCGTTTTGTACCGGAGATGGTACAACTTTTGTGCACGGGAGAGCTTAGGGTGGTTAATGTAGACAGCTGTGAACATATCACGAAAAGCTGGCCATTCTTCATAACCCCCATAGAATGTCTCTGTGTCGCAGGCTGGGACTTTCAGGCATATATTTGAAGAGGAAGCTTCTTCTGGAACTCGTTCCACACGAGAAGTTGGACTCGGCTGAGTAGACGCTCGAATTAATTCGAGCTGGTCTGCTATCCTCATCTTTGTATGCTCATATGTATCATGGCATGTGAAATATTTATTGTCTGCTGAAATTTTAAAATTTTCGGGCAGACATTCATCGGGCTTTGAACAAACCTTTATTTACAGCTTTCAATTCTGCCCAGATGAGTGTTGTCTTTAATTTTTAGGTACGTTTCCGTGTGATCCGGAATAGGGAAATCACCGAATCGAGAACAGTATCTAATGACATTGTCACTTAATGAAATTAGTTGTTGCGCGGAAGGATCGATCTGTTTAGATCTGCGCGCTTGTGACGATTCCCTTTTAGTGCTTAGGGCTTCGAGTGAAGATCCCTTCTTTGTTTCGGAATCGGACATTTTGGACTCCTTAGTACCTTTAGTAGGACTGTGACCAATTGGCATTTATAAGGAAAAATGTATTTAAAAGTCGCAATATAAAACCTTGAAACTCGAATTGAGTTTTTACGAATGACGGATGTTCGCACTTCGTGCTTTATTACATAAAAAATAATGCACTTTATACCACAGAAAAATGTAAAAAAAAAAAATTGTGGCTGTGTTTTTTTTTTGTATAAAATCACAACTTGTTGTTTCCTTAATTAATTGTATTGAAATTCACTTTTATAAACGTGGGTTATATACGTGTATAGTAAAAGTAAATGTAATAAATAATTTATATATAAATTGTAATAAAATTAAAAATTATTCAATTATCAATTATTTAATATTTCGTTTAAAAATAGCGAACAGGACAATTCTCTATTAGGTTTTTTAAGCGATCTTGTATCTCGTTGTCAAGATTTCAACATAGATATGTAATTATGTATGCATGCATATTACAATCGTAAACAGATACAACATCTGTTTGAATATACACGACTATATTTGTTTATACGTATGTGAGTATATTTATGTCAACAAATATCTTGACCTCAGCTGCTCGCGCAACGAAGAAAGCGCATAAAACAATGATACGTCGAAAAACAATATGTGCAGAAAAAAGAGTACTTAGGTGCGAGTATGTGCCCAATGCTTAGGAGATAAACGTACACACAATATATGCTTCTCTTGTAATGTCGAGAGCGAATATCGCACAAAGCGGAAATTGGAAAAATGCAGTGAGTAAATTACTTGCAGTAAAGTTAGCTATTTAAAGCTGCGCTCTTTAGCAAAGTGGTGAATATCTTCCACTTTATTAATTTTCTGCTATTTTTTCTTATGCTGTATTTTATGGGTCATTGAGCCATGGAGAACAGCTGACAATGCAAATAATTATATTATTTGACCTATTAATGTCAGTAGGCTTTATAACTGCAATTAGATTTAGTATTTGTACTTGTTATGTATCTATATACATAAGCGGAATGTATACAGTAGGAATGCTGTATTCGCGTTTATGTATATAATTAGCGGTAAAGGAAATTGATCGCTTACCCCTTCTTTTGCGAGAGTTTAAACTGAGCCGTAACTTTCAACGGAATTTAGGAACCGTAAAATTCTCTTGTTTTTAAAGGGCTTTTGGCGGGAAGAAAGTTCCGCTGTTAGATAAGTATATGAGTGTTTCCTAATTGTAGTATAAATATATTTGAATCCTCTTTTTAAGGAAATTAAAAAGATTGCCTACTTTCTACTTAGACTTCCAAACTGTGGTTACTTCCCATTTTATATATTGTATGTATGTATGTATGTGTGATATTGTGGTGTTTGTGGAAAGTTCCTGTGGCGTGTGTCTTCCTTGTTCCTGTCCTCTTGTGGTGATGTGTTAATAATGTGTTTCTCACTTTTTTTCACTTTTTGGATTTACGTATGTACTTATTTTTTAACAAAATTTTTTTTTGGTATGTGATTTTTTTGTATATGTAAGAGGGAACTTAACACTTGTTTATGTGTATATGTACATATTTTTGTATATTAATAAATTTTCCAAATTTTTTTTTGTGTACGTATGTATGTATTTCCACAATACTCTTTTCGCAGTATTCTTTTGTTTTAGTAATTTTTTTTTTTGTAAATATTTAAATTTTTTTTTGTTTGCACCACCAGCTTTTTTTGTTATTTTTATTTTTTATTTTTTTTATTTGTTTTCAAATATGGTTGAATATTTTGCTTTATTTTGCATTACTTTTTTTTAATCTCAATTAAAAACTAAGATATTAGTATAAACTAAACTAAGAAACTAGTATAATAAATTTACTACAAGAGCAGTGTCCGCGGTTTAATGCTGCCGTGCGCGAGCGAAGGCTGTTGGTTTTAAAGTGGCGGCCAAAAAGGATAGATAGGATAGAGGAATTGGCGCGTGACGGAAATAGTGGGAAAAGACGGGTATTTCCACGCGCACGGCAGTTACATTTTTTTATATTTGGTGGTTTAATCATCTAAGCAGACGCTTAAGCAATTCGTTTTTATTTTTTTCAGCCTGCAACAGCCAAGCCGGTAATTGACGCCCGAGTCAAATAAGCTCGACGTATCTAGTCGTTAAAAGTGAAAAAAGTTAAAGTTCCACAAATAGTAAGACTTTTTTCAAAACGTGCAACAATAAGGTGCCACGAAATTAAAGACTCTAAAGGAAAATTTGCCACAATAAAGTGCCAAAAACCAATAGAGACCTTTAAAAAAAAAGTGTAAAAAAAGTACCCAAAATCAAAAAGTGATATAAAACGCACAAAAAAAAATTGTACATAAAAGTGGCGTGGAGAGGAACGTGGAACTTGACGCCCCAACGATAACACGACACCAGCCGTCCCGGAAGAACAGAAAGGAGCAAGCAAGTGCTCTCGAGTACCGTAAGGAAAAAGGACATAAGCACACTTACCGTCTTAAATACCAAACAATGCAGCTGTTACTTATGCAAGGACCAAATTATAAGTGATAATTCCTGAATTTAACAAAATAGAATTAGTTATAAAAAGGAAATAGATACATTCCAAACAAAGTGAAATATTTAAAATAGTTTAGAAATAGAAGTAGCTAATACCCAAAGATAACGAATTGGCTTGTACAGCTAATAAAATTAAATATTGCTAAAGCTGCGATTCACCACCTTCGGGTGGACCCTCCAGCTTATAACAAAAAACACTGCGATTCACCACTCAAGGTACCCTCCAGTGATTTATCAATTAAACAAAAATATAAATTATAAATTAATAACAACAAAACAAAAACAGATAATAAATACAAATATAATCTAATTAGACCACCAGTGCTAGGGAATAACACACCACCCTCACCTGCCCAACAAATTTTCCCAGAGATAATAAATATGATACGAACTATGGTTTCCCAGGCTATAGAAGCCAGTGGGCCAGAACTTATCAGGACAACTCTGAGCAATAACAATAAGCCAATTATAACAGATCAGACAATAGAAGATCAATAATATGGCAGAAATGAATAAAATTCCAGTCGTTGTGAGATCTTTAAGAGGATTCTCGGGGAACGCCTCAGAATTCAGCTCGTGGAAAAAAAGTGTCGAGCGTATTTTGAGGATATATGAGCAATCAAAAAAAACTCCTAAATACTTCGGCATTCTAAATGCCATAAGGAATAAAATAGTGGGAATATTGCCTTAGAATCATACAATACTCCTCTGGATTGGACAGCAATTTCCCGTTGTCTAACCACACACTATGCCGACATAAAAGACATAAGCACTTTGGAATACCAAATGACTTGTCTTATACAAGGAAAGCTGACAGTAAACGAGTTTTATCAAAAAGCTTATAGCCACCTTTCCCTTATCCTCAATAAAATCGGATGCATGGAGATCGGTGAAGAAGCGGTTCACCTTCTAACGGACAACTACCGTGCTAAAGCCCTCGACACATTCGTGAAAGGACTCTCTGGTGATCTTCCGAGACTCTTAGGCATAAAAGAGCCAAAAAGCAAACCCATTCCTCCAATCGAAATTTTACCCCGAACTGGCTCATATACCACAACCTCCTCAAAACTATCGTCAACAAAATGTGAATACTCATAGCTTCCAACAATATCCCCAAAGAAACGTACATAGATACCAATCGTAAAATTTCTATAGTCTAACTTATAACCAACAACAATACTACACACCTCCGAGGCCATCTAAACCACCTCAACCTATGGACGTGGATGAAAGCGTAAGGACGAGAGCGGTAAATTACGTGAATCGAATACATCCATGGTCAATCATCCCCATCAGAAAGTTCTAAGGAACTTTCATATAAACTCTGATGAAGTAACAGAAGACACAAACTACAATATTGAAGAGACGCACGACCTGACGGACATACATTTTTTAGATTAGTTATAGCAAATACAAAAAGAATCTACTTAAGGCAGTACTGCTTCCAATGTATCAACAAAATAGAAATTAGGGACGAGCACATGACAGCATTAGGGAAACACGAAATAAAACAAATAGCAAAGAAACACAGCAGTCTATTCTCTGAACCGAACGAGAAACTGACTTACACAACTAAAGTGATAGCGGAAATCTGAACAACCTCAGACACTCCCGTATACGCCAAATCATACCCATACCCCATCAGCCTAAAGCAAGAGGTCGAAAAGCAAGTGAACAAATTGCTTGAAGGTGGCATTATAAGGAAATCTAGATCCCCTTACAACTCACCGGTCTGGGTTGTACCGAAGAAAGGAGATGCCTCAGGCGAGAAAAAGTATAGGATGGTAATCGAGTTCAGAAAACTAAATGCAGTTACAATCGCAGATAAGTACTCAATACCTGAAATAAATGAAGTACTTTCCCAACTAAGAAATAACAGCATCTTTTCTGTGATTGACCTAAAAAGTGGTTTCCACCAAATTCCTCTTAAGGAATCTGACGTGTAAATTTCATATATCCTCAAACGATCAAAGACTTAAGGCCATTCCTAGGCCTCTCTCGATATTATAGACGATTTATTAAAGATTACGCTAAGCTGGCAAAGCCTCTAACATCTCTACTTCGAGGTGAAGAAGGAAGAATGTCAAAAAGCAGCTCCAAGAAAATACGGATAGATTTAAATTAAAATTCAAAGGCGGCATTTAATAATATTTACCACTGATGCCTCACAATTTGCCATAGGCGCAGTTCTAGAGCAAAAGAGGAAACCAATCACATTTATATCAAGGACACTAAACAAAACAGGGAAAATTACGCTGTAAATGAAAAGGAAATGCTCGCTATAATTTGGGCACTAAACTCGCTTAGAAATCATTTGTATGGAACAGCTAAAGTAATCATCAAATTACAAACCTGGAAAATCAAATGTGGTTGCCGACACATTATCAAGACCAATCGAAGTAAACTCTTTATCAGTATTCTGACGAAAGTTCATCGCATAATTTAATCCCAACAGTAGAAGGACCTATAAACGCCTTCAAGAATCAGCTTTGGATCTCAATAGGAGATGAAGACACCTATCAATTTAAAATTCCATTCCCAACCTACTATAGGCACATAACAATTAAACCCAATTATTCAATAGAAAACCTGACTGTACTACTAAAACGTTACCTAAATCCTTCAGTGATAAATGGCATATTTACCTCTGAAAGAATAATGGGAAAAATCCAAGAAGTTTATCCACTCCACTTTACGATGCTCAAAGTGAAGAAATCTTAAAAGAACATAAACGAGCCCACAGGAATAGGGACGAAAATAAAAAACAGCTGATACAAAAATTTTATTTTCCTAAAATGCAGACAAAAATAGAAAATATAATAAAGCAATGCAAAACTTGCAAAGAAAATAAATATAATCGTCACCCTAATAAACCACAACTATTAGAAATCACAATTCCCACATATCCCGGCGAAATAGTCCATATAGATATTTATAATACAGAAAGAAAACTAGAGCTAACAGCGGTAGACAAGTTTTCGAAGTATGCGCAAGTTAGAATAATAGAGTCACAGGCACTGCGACAAATACTTTTCGCCTTCGGCGTACCAAAGACAATAGTTATTGATAACGAAAAATTGTTGAAATCAGCCTCCATTCAATTCATGGTCGAAGATCAACTTGGAATTAATATCTACATTACTCCTCCGTATACGAGCACAGTGAACGGACAAGTGGAAAGATTTCACTCCACCTTATCGGAAATTATTCGCTGTCTCAAAACAGAAAAAACCCATCGATCGGTTCAAGAACTTTTAGATAGATCCAGATCTGAATACAACTACACCACACTCCGCAACAGGAAAACGACCAATAGAGACCTTTTTGGCAGACGAGTCTCAATAGACCCCGAACAATACGAAAGCGCACGCAGAGAAAACATAGACATACTTAAGAAAAGACAAGCGAAAGACTTAGAAACCCTTAACAAAACCTGAGCTTTGATATGCAGCCCCACTTGATATTGTAAGCAAACAACAAGGAATTTCGACATGAAACTTCGTAGGAATGATGAGAGAAATATATTTTTCCAATATTTTAACTTTTGGAATTTGAATATATTATAGTTTATAAGTTATTTGTTGTTATAAATTGTTAACTTTATTCCATTATTTCTTTATGAAACGGTCACTATTCTTTCATTTTTGCTTAGCAAAAACAAATATTACTTTGATTTTATTAAATAGTTTCACTTATTTTGTATATATTAATGCGCAATGTGACTTAAATATAGATTAACAAATTATATTATAATCAAAACAAATGTTCACTTAAACATGGCTGCATACTAATATGGATGGAGTTGCCGTACAGGGTAAAATATTCTGTAAATTCAACAATATTCAGCAATGAACATGGAAGGCGGTGCCGTACCATGTAATATATTATACAAATTAAACAATATTCAACAACAAAATATGAAAACAAAACAAAATGAAAATTTACTGTGCTAGGCGAAGCCGGTGTTGGTCTGGCCAGGGTTACAATCCAAAGCGCAGCCGAAGGCCCCCAATTTACAAAGGAGTTTCACTTAAGAATACTGTGCAAGGCAAAGCCGGTGTCGGTCCGGCCCAGGTTACAATCCAAAGCGCGGCCAAAGGCCGCCAATTTTTAAAGGAGTTTTACTTAACTTAAAATTTTTAAGTGAATAACATTTTATTTTTTAAACAATTTTTTATTATATTTTCCTGCATATTTATCCTTAATTTATAAACCTTTTTACTGAGTGGCTACGCCTGCCTAGCCAAAATACAAACAAACAGGCTCTGTACTTAAGTATTATTTTACTTAGTAGTCCGGCAACTCCAATGTAGACGTAATTTTGCATTTATTACTCAAAATTTAAGATAGAATTATTAAAAAACTATAAGTCAGCTAAAGAAAAGAAAATTAGTTTTAGAATCTAGGATTTTTCCTCTTTCCAGCCATATAAAATTTATTTGCGAAGGCCTGTGGCTCTAAACAAAAATTTTACCTTGAAATATAAACTTAGGATAATGAAAGAAGAAATTACCAATATAGATTGGGCCAAGACCGGAATCGTAAATTCATACATTTTGTCAAATGCGGAACTAGAATTAATTAGATCGGTATTTGTACGCCGGACTGTACCTTGTGAATTCACCTACGCAGGTATTGTGTGCGAGAGTTATTTCCGAGAGTAGTTCATCTAAATCACGTTGTTCTTTTCCGGTGAATCGCGCTATCATTCTTTTAATGTTCCTGTTTGCCCTTTCGGTTGGTATCTCCTGCGGTGTGTAGGGTGCGGTTAGCTGGTGTTTCACCCGATGCTCGCGTAGGAAGTCTTTGAAGCGCATACTGGTGAATCGTTCTCCGTTATCCGTAATCAATATCTTTGGGAAGCCAAAACGGGCTAAGATCCTTTCTCGGAATGCTCGTGTGAGGCCTTCAGTTGTGGCTTTGCGGACTGCCACGATCTCTACCCATTTAGAGCATCGATCCAGAAAGACGAAAGCCATTGTATTACAGTGTTTAATTGTGGTAGTGGGCCGACGAAATCTCCACACACTGTTGGTTCTTCCGCTATTTGTGTGAGCACTTTGCCTGCGGATTTCTGTTGGACGGGCTTGTATATTTGGCTCTAGTGGCACTGTTGTACATACTTCCTCACGTCGCGAAACATCCCCGGCCAATAGTATCGTGCCATAGCCTGGGCTATGAATTTACAAATGCTTTTAGACATTGGCACGCATATCTTTCACGGGGTAACGTCTTCACCATTGACTTGGGTAGTTATTCGGCTATATAAACTACCTTCTTCAATCACGTAATATGGGAACTTCTCTGGAGCTTCTTCCACCTTCGCCTTCTTCTTTTAGCCATGCGCAGTCTCCGTTTTCTTCTTCCTCTAACACCGTGCCCAACTGCTCTTCTTGTGGTTGCCTTGATAGCGTGTCTGCGCCCACCTCGCTATTCAACCCAGGAGGCCCTCGCGTTGAGCCACTTCAACGCCAGGTGGTCGGTAATCACTCTGAAGTTGTACTCTTCTAGATACGGTTTCATTTTTCTTATTACCCAGTCTATGGCTAGACACTCCTTCTCCGTTGGTGAGTAGTTCCTTCGGCTTTATTTTGTCTCCGGCTCGCATATGCTATTACTCGTTCGCTACCCTCTAACTCTTGTGTTTGATCTGCTCCGAGCCCGAAATTACTCGCATCGGTCTGCAACGTAAACCTCTTCGTAAAGTCCGGACAAGCCAACACCGGTGCTTGTGTGAGGGCGTCTTTCAGGGCACCGAATGCTAACTATTGTTGCTCGGACCGCTCTCACTTTCTGCCCTTCTTCAACATTGATGTGAGCGAATGCGATACTCGTGAAAAGTCGTGGACGAATCTTCGGTACCATGATGCCACCCCAGGAAGCGTCTGAGCTCTCGTAGATTTGTTGGGGGTGTGAGCTCTCTAATGGACGCTACCTTATCTGGGTCTGTACGGATGCCCTTCTCGCTGACTACGTGGCCTAAATACTTCAATTCTTTCTTAAAAAATTCGCACTTCTCAGGGTTGATACGGAGGTTGGCTTTTCTTAGCTGCTTGAATACTTCTGTCAGGTCTCCTTCTTTTATGTTGTTATTTTCCTCGTGATGTAAATAGGTTATTTTCTAGCTGTGAAAATTTATGATTAGGTTTGAGGAACTAAAATGTTTATATTAAAATTTAAATATTGTGAAAGTTTACCTGGGCATTTTTCCAAACAAAAGATTTGAAAATATTATGCAATTGTAATACAAATTTCGATTTATTGAATATATGCATATATATTTGGCGCTTAGTAACCGCGGAAGCGATTTTCGGCTGAGCTCTTCCATAAATTTGTGGTTTTCCATCTTGATGTCTTTCCAAAAAAAGGAGAGACCTACTGTTTATTAATCCGCCAACAGCTGATGGGTTTTATGACGAGCCTTTTTTTGATGTTAAAAACTCAATCGGAAGGGCTAACATTCTCTGTCGTGGAGCGGCCGCTTTTTGAAAATTTAACTAATTTTTTTTTTTGTTTAAATTAATTTTCGGTCGTTTGTTGGTCGTCACAGGATTTGAAACCGAGCCTTCAGTATGCAATGCTAACTACTCGGCTATGGCAATCGAGTGTAATTATAAATATTCTTCAAAAAATACATCAACACGTAGAAGCATATGTATGTGGATAATCTCCAATATAATTACTTTGAAATTACGAATATTTAGGGGTATTCTCTTGGCCTTGCATTACCCTAGTGCACCGATTGCATGGATAATATTATATAAAAGCTATACTGAAATACGCAAGAGTTAAGAACACACTATTGCAAAACTACAGTATATTTGATAGCAATTACACAGCTGATTTGAAGTGTACAACTACTGCGAATACAGAGAAGTTTTGAATTTTATTATATATAATATAAATATATGTATATATATTATATATCTGTGTATACACATAAATAGAAGAGTAAATAATACTTTTTAACATACTTACATGCATACATACATATAAATACTTCAATTTAAATGAAAGCTAATTTCAAATTTAGGTATCCTCTCGATCATTTGTAATTCTAATGGAAGATCTGTTCTCAAATTCCAACTTTCTCGTTTGCAGCTCCAACATATTTTCCTCCATATCTATTTGTGTCTGGAACGTCCTTTCCTCAAAACTTCGCTCTTTCATTTCTAGTTTTTGATACTGTAGACAACAAGCAGGCAGATGGCAGACTTCAGCGTCCGTGAAGCTGTTCCTCGAGGTGTTGAGGATGCCATAACAGCGGAGGGTGCAGAACTGGCGTCGGACTCGCTGGAGACGATTACGACGGCGAAGACGATGGCAGCATGTCCCTTTTCACTAATAGCGGTTGGACGTCTGGAACTCAGTTGCCAAAAATTTCTTTTAACCGCTCGAAGTGCGGACATATTTTTGGCGATTTTTGCTGAAAATATGTAGACTTAGTTAGTAGCCAATTGCTAAGCCAAAATTTTACTCAATTTCTATCGTCTGGCCATCAGCTTCTACGAAGGGCACAACGCCAGTTGATGTCAGGCAGTCATTCTCCTGGCGGAACTGTGCCTTCAAATGGCGCACCTTCCACCGCCCAACATCCCAGGTGGTATCCAACTGAGTTTTTTCTATAAAACGTTTATACAAAAATTGTAGAGTTGGAGCCTGAAAATATAGAAAAACAAATTAGTCGTAGAACTTAAACAAATTTACAAGCAAACCTCAAAATCCGCATCCTCATGCCAATAATAAATTTCTTGCATATATGTTATTATTATAATATTTGCAGCACTTAACGTTCGTTCTATTTTTTTTGGCTACTGCTTCAACTTTGTTGCCGGTGATGCACATGCATCAGCCATTGTCACTAAAAATGTTGAATAAAAATATTTAACTGATAAAAATATAAAAAAAATTATAAAACTTAACTTTCTCATCATAATATTTCAAAAAAAAAAAATAATGAAATACAGCTGGCACAGGATTGCATTTACTAACTTACACTTCGTTGCATACGCTGCAGCTATTGCATAAAATTTAGTGCGTGGTTGCGTTGCATACTCATGCAATCCGTTGAACCTACCTATTTTACCTAATTTAAAATTAACCAATGTTTCGCTGAGATGTTTTTTTGAAAGTGACTACAGATTTGAGCTGAACACTGGCTTAAATATTTAAGAAAATTTCACCGGCAGTTTACCTGCTTGATAAATGTTAGTGTGGCGGAAGACTTCCGTGGTTCTCAAATATTGATCTTTTGTGGTTTCAACAGTTTCTAATTCGTCTGATATTATTACGAGCCAAACTTTACAAGTGAGCGTTCAATTTGTTGCAGTATTGCCAATATACTCCGAAATACTCCGTGGAATTTATCGTTGAGATGCAGCACGGTATTCGTGTGTCCGTCCATTGGCTTGAGCAGAAATTAACCTTCAAGTTTATTTGATATTTGCATGAAGGATAGTTTGAATCTGTATCAGACGTCTTTATCATGTATCCGATTATTAATATATGTGATTTCATGATACAATCATCACAATCAAGCTCCTAAGTTTTTGATATTTGGTGTACAGCTTACGCATTATATGTTTATAGATTAGTTTCACATATCTAATTTAGCATTCTATTCCCGTGTATGTAAGTAATGCAAGTATAATTGATGTTCGCATGGCAATGCTAATAACATAGCTATGAGGAGTCACAAGAGTAAAAAATGATTCTATTTAGTTCACTCCATATTTTTGATTACAACTTTTGGCCACTAATTGGCCCTTAAACCGTTCGATACCGCAATCCGAATTTCTCTTTATATCAAGCACCCACTTGCTGCTAATATCCTTTTCACCCACTGGTTAATCTACTAAAGAAAACGTTATATTTTTGACCAGCGCTTCATACTCCTTCCGCATAGACCCCTTACAATGTTTTGCATTTGCACCAGAGATACAAAATAAACGCATCGATACCATTTCATTTCGCTAATAAGTAACACTAAGTTAAACGAGAAGCAACCACCCAACCTCTCACGACTGCCGGCTCAACCGAGTTGACCAGGTTTTTATCCATCCATGGGAGGTCACCCTTTCCGTTTTCTTACCCCATTTAGGTCAATAGGTAACATAAGTCTAAGTAAGGAGCCACACCTCGCAGCTGGGGTGCTCCAAATCCTTCTCATCAGGGATGGCGTGTGCTGCAAAGACTTGACCACGGCAGTGCTTACAGCACCTTTACCCATTGTGAGTAACCAACCACAGATCTCTACTGTCAGCACTAATGTCCCGCGAGAGCTACCCACCAGCTCCTAGTCCCCCGCGCAGTCTGTTCCGTGTAGGACCATAGCACGTCGAAAAATGACATCAGTCGGATGCAACTGCTGTTCTGGCTGGTGCCGTCTTCTGACCCCTCCTTTATCCAAAACACACATGAATGCCGCCAACTAACGTGCTGCATCCAATCAAGCTGGTATTACAGCAACAACATACTACATCTAAACATCACTACCTCAACCCTCGTACAACGAACGACTGTTACAATTTAACTGCGAGTGACTAACTGACTCCGGATAAAGATTGATGAGATAGTCAACTTTCTTAGCCAGGAGCACCTTTGCTGCAACATTATCCGCATGGAGCGCGAACGAGACCATGACTGTGCAGTATCGTCTCATCGATGGCGACATCGACCGCAGTACAACCCTAGAATAGCAGGGCACCCAGTCAGGCAATGTCGAGCTCGAAATATTTAATATATACATTCCTCCTGCTACTAGTTGCCCAGTTGGATATAGTCGGACCACTTACCCATACAAATCTCGATTGACATTTTTCCCGACTTTCTTTCCGCGGACCACCGGACATTTGTTAACTTCAAAAAAGATAACTGGCCCGGGCTCACTGAATTTACTGATAACGCTCTTCGTGTTTTCCCTTTCCATCAGAAGTCACAACCGGTTGATGTTTATTCGCAGGTCATTAGGATGTCGAAA